TACTCATTGTGTAAATTATGAATGTTCATTTGATACTGATGTTATGCTCATTTTAAAATGTTATGTCAATGCATATTTCAAAAGTATCATATTACATCAGATTCATGTAGGAGTTGGTTATAGATATTGTATCACGGACCATGATAATCAATTGCATGTTTCTAATACTCAATATAGAAAGTGTGATGCTCAACAAAATTGTCATGATACTCAACAAAAACTTTAAGTTTCATATCAATGCTCATTTTATAAGTTACATATGCTCAATTGGTACTCATGTTACGCTCATTTTTAAAATGTCATATCAATCCATATTTAAAAACTATCATATTACATTAGATTCACATATTGAAGTTCATAGGAGTTGATTATGGATATAATTTAATAAGTTTTTATAAAAGAATTGAAAAAAAATAAGAAAAAGAAAGTGAATTAGAAGATATGAACCAGAAATCACGATGCTTATTATTAGGCTCCTAATACTCAGCATAATACGTCTGATGCTCATTAAAAGCGTAATAATGCTCATATAACGAAAACCGCGATTTTCACTGAAATTACAAAAATGCCACCGTTTTTTGGTTGTGATATCAGCTATCTTGTAATAACACGGTGGTCATTATTAGACGCTTAATACTCATTAAAATTAGACTATTGCTCATTAACAGTACACTAATGCTCATTTAGCAGAAGCCGTGATTTTCACATTAATTACAAAAATGTCACCGAATTATTTTGTTGTTTTTCACTTAGGTCTGTTACTGGGCCGGCTGTACGGTGCTCACCGTACAGCCGGTTGTACCATATACGTACTCCAGTATGATAGAGTTGTATGTGTTACAAAGATCACTACTAGAAAATTGTCTTATAGTGACACTTGTCTAGTGACACTATCTCATAAAGTGTCACAGATATACGACATATTTTTTAAAAAACAATCAAGTGTCCTTAATTTCTGAAATAACAATGTCAAAATTGAATAGTGATACTTGAGCAAAAAAATTAATCATCTAAGTGGACAAAAATTATGTAAAAAATCTTACTCTATACCTTCTTTTAATTTGGGCCGTTCCTTTCTTGTCTTAAATTCAATCCTAAAGCTCCGAAGTGCAAAATTTCAGATTTGAGCGTAGGGAACTCCTCTTCCAGCACAGCGAACATGGATGACTACCTGGTGGTACTCGCCGTAGATGTATCCCCAGTCCCCTGCTTCTATTTCGCCATCCAGGTACGAATAAAAAAACACGGAGTAATGACAATGATGAACAGTAAATCTGCGAAAGAGATTATCGTTTCTTGGATTTTAGGCCGTCCAGCGCCCTTCCAATTCCAAATCCAGGTTCGGATTTAGACTTAGGGATGAATTTCGGTGTAGAACCTCAAAGAAACAGAATCAAACGAACTCAAATCCCTACAGCCAGTTCTATCTTTGTCACAGAAAAACCTAGGTCATATTTTCAGGATGTTTCTCTATATTAGAATCAAAATAATTTATTCACTTCTAAACCTTTCTTCTTCTCTTTTACTTGAAGTATACAAATCGTGCTTCTTCATAACATATCATAACCAAGTCTACGCTGGTAACTTGGACGGACAGGGGCGGTATGATATAACAACCACGGCCGCCCAGATTTCTTCATCGCAGATATATGTTATCATTTTGTTGTGAGTTTTATATTGCCTCGTGTGTATAACAATCAAAATTTAGGGTTTGTGTTGAATTTTGTTAATATTATTGTTTTGTTATTGATTATTTCGATTCTAATTTTCAAGTTCTCTAAAAATTTTCAGATTATGAAACATATAGCTTCCTCTCTATCCCCGATACACAGAGCATGAGGACCCTGATTTGCTTCCATCTTCCTCGACCCATTTCTTTTTTTAGTGTCTGTGTTAATTGATTTGCCGCCCAATTTTTTTTCTTTTGCGTTTCTGTCTTCTTCGATTCATCCTAACTGAAGCTCCTAATAATTACTACTCACCTTCCTTCATTTGCAGGTGCTTCCCCTCTAAAGTTGTGAAACCTGAGAGGGCCTGATAAGTGTCTTGGTTAAAAATCAGTTGGTAGGGAGTTGCAAAAGAAATCTCCCATTCTTGTTTATCACCTCAACACTTTCGGTCACTTGGTATTTCACTTATGCATTACCGGTTTTTTAATTGCTTAGCTGTTATTACTTTATTAATTATCTCTGGAAGTAAAGAAGGATCGCCATACTAATGTTACTGGTATCAACGGTTTAACCCGTGAACATAATAAGTAGTTTTTTACTCTCGTTTTGAGTGTGCTGAAATAGATGCGCCCAAATGCGTCTTCTTTAAAAAAGTTAACCATATTTAGCCAATTCAGTTCAAATCGCTTAAATGGATGCTCCCATAATGTCTAAATAAATTATGATTAATTTGGTAGAAGAGGTTTCTCACATTTCTACAATGGATGTAATCTTTTTGTGTTCGAAAATGACTTAAAGTAGAAAATGATTGGGGGGGATTCAGTTGTGGCTAATTTCAATTATGGAATATTTCATTCACTCTGTATATGCTAAAGTTATGCTAAACCGAATGAACCACATGACATTCTTTATGTGCAGCCTATAATGTCCAATTTAAGTGAGCTACGAGAAGGTTAAAGGAAAGTTAAGATTTTATCTGAGCTACTATACAGAGGCAACAATGCTTATTATGTCAATGACAATGCTTTAGTTCTCTCAACAACTACAATAGGTAACTATATGCCTCCTCAAACAGTGCTCTCACTCAGATGAATACTCTCGATAGAACAGATCTTTCTTTTAAATAGAGTTTGTGTTCAATTTTATTCTTGTTTCCTTTTTACTGCAGGACTGTTTATGACTTTATTGTAATTAATTACCTGTTCAATTTCTATCATTTGCCATAGATGCACTCAAGTGCGATATTTGGGCAGCAAGTTATCCAAATATGGAGGTATTAGTACTATCATGCCGGCCTATTATCCACTTTGCGCTCTCTATTTCAGATCCCACTCGAAGTATGTTTTTTTTCATTTGGTGATTGTCATTTACGAGTGCCAGATGTGTGTTTTTATGCGTGTAGACTTTCAATGCGCACCTTAAAGATGTGTATTGTTGTGATGCCTTACTGTTGCGTGTGACCTGCATAAACATGGTAATAAAGTAATCCCGCCTGTCGATGAGGAACTCCTGGAAGGCTTTACGCAGGAACTCCTCGAAGGCTTTACGCAGGAACTCCTGGAAGGCTATACGCAGGCCAGTAATCCCGCCTTACTGATGCCTTACTGTTGCGTGTGACCTGCATACACATGGTAATACACATGCATGTGCGCTTCTTAGCTTATGGCTTCTGCTACTCACCCTTTGACGGGTAAGTTTATTTTACTATATATTTCAGATTTTCAGCGTGCAAGTAGCAGGCTGCTGCTAGTTTACTTGTGTAGTTGTGTTATGTATTTGTAAATTTTGTTTATTTTCTTGTTTAGAATTTTGGGAGCAGCCTGTTGTGTTTTGTAATTCCATTCTTTGCTTAGTTGTTTTATTTTGTAGTTTAGAGTTGAAATTTTACTTATTTATAGGAAAGATGTACTAAGTTGAACTAGTGTGTGATTACTGTAATGTCCACTTTGCAGGTGAAGTATGATAGAAGCAAGTGAGGTTTCAAACGATGAAGTTGGTAGCATAAGAACTGGTTTCATTCTGTGCAAGTCTGCAAAAGAAGACATGTGAAGGCCCTAGGAAGTGTGGTGTAAAAGTTAGACTTGTTAGCGTGTTGTTCTTGTATATTAGTTGTTGTTTCGGGGGTGTGCCCCCATGAATTATGTAGTATATACATTCACATTTATGTGAGAAATTGAGATATAAATAAAAATCTTTAAATTTTGGTTATTTATTAGTATTAAATTATATTACACACACACATATATTGATATATATATATATATATATATATATATATATATATATATTTATGATACTAATGTATCATATATCTTTATGATACCAGAGTGTCAAAAAAAGTTATGATATTATAACGTCATAATTTTATGTGATATTTTATTGTCATAATTTTGTGACACTAATATGTTTAGCAACCAGTGACACTAAATTTTGTGTCACTTGCCCCGCTTTTCTGTGACACTTTCAGTGTGTCATTAAATCGTTTAGTGACACTAATTTAGTGTCACTATAAGCCATTTTTTTACTAGTGGATAATGCTTACAAAAAAAGTTCATTGGATGAGAGTTTGATTTTGAAGAGAGCAAATTACATTATGTCAGAAACTACGAATATAACAGTTATGTCAATTATGACATATTATGTCAATTATATTAATTATATCAAGTTTTAATACAAGATTTGTTGACATAAACTACGAATATAACAGTTATGACATAATTGACATATTTGTTGTTCTTTACCATATTAATAATATTTGTTGTTACGGTTATATTTATGTTTATCTTAATAAGTTTTAAGACAAACTACATTCTCTATTCTCTTTTTTTTTTGCAAATACATTCTCTATTCTCTTAAGTTCTGCAATCTGCATTCTATAAGAGTTATATTTCGTAATTACATTGTTTATTCATGTATAATATTTTCAAGTAGCTGTAAATAATATACAATTTTTGTTTGTCTACATTACAATTAGTATGGTTTATGATAACATAAACTCATCCATCGCATTATGCCTTGTGATAAAGAATTTCCACACAGAGTCATATATTTTCTAGTACTTTCTTTAAAAGTTGTGATACCTCATACATATCATAGGTGTATTGATAATAATGTAACTTAATGATCTTCTGTTTTAAATCAATGATCTTCTTGGTTAGGCCAAAATATATGCTCCAAACGAGTAGGAATAACCAAGTAACCAAAATCCCAACCAAATAAATGATAAGATAATTCCAAAATGTGAACCAAAACAAAAACTAGCATAACTATATTTGGTATGAATTAGCAACTCATTGTGAGGAATCTGACTTCTCTCTAGAAAGAAAAAGACTCTCAACCACACTTGTGTTCTTTTTTAATCTAGTTGATCCCTTGATACACCTCTGGTGCTTGAGTTGGAACTGTGTGGAAATCTCAGCCGGAGTGGTAAAACCTTGTAGTGGCATCAGAGCTTGGGCTTCAACGGTCAGTCCCCTAAAATCATTTGATTTAAACACTAATAATTAATAGAAGGATCTCTCCTACTTGGAATGAAAGGTTTGATTTCAAATACACTACATAATTTGGAGTTGAGAATTGCAAATCATTATATTGTAATAATACTATTATAATATACTACATAATATTTGTAATGAAGTGTCAAATATACATGACTAGTCACTCACGAATCGATTCTATAACTCTATTATAATTAGATGTAGAAAAAGATATCATTCTCAGCAATGCGAGTGTAGGTTTCATATCATTCATATTTTCATCACTTATTTTGTGAGGCATGTGAGAGTTGTGAATGCATTGATAGTCGGGAATAGATTCAATCCTTCCAACACAAACATTAAAAAACGAAAAAGAACTGGAGCATATACATAGAGGCATAGAGCTAGTATAATTATTGGGGTCTCATGACCGTAAGTTAAAGAATTTAGTCAATTTGAATAAGAAAAAATTCCACTTTTGGTCTCATGACTATTATGCCATTTCCACATTAATCCCCTGACTTTCAATTTAACCAAATGTAGTCCTTGACCTTATCTCCATAACCACCCGTCGTCCTTCCGGGCTCAATTCCGGCTAATGTCAACCGGAAACCAATTAATGAGGGTTAGTTGTGTCATTTAATAGCATTTATAGGTTTCCTACCTAACTCCAACGTTAAAATGAATTTTCGGTCAACCCAAAAATTAGAAACGAGCACTCCTTCGCCATACCTTCTCTTCGCCGTAGCATAGCTTCTCCTCCGCCATAGGTACTCCCTCCGTCGTTAGTATCACCCCCAACCCCCCCAACCCCCCGAAGAAGTGTACATGTCTAGCTCAAAATTGGGAAGTTCAAATTGTACGGGCCAATATGAATATGGAGAGTGGATTCCGGTCAAGTATTGTGAATGTGACAACCGATTGAAGCTGCTGACGACATGGAAACCGGAGAACTGTGGGAGAAGGTTTTGGAAATGCACTGGAACTCAGGTTATATATGGTTGTGAAAGAGATAGGTTAAATGTAATATATGAAATATTTAGAAATGCAATATTGATTGACTGATTTGGAAACTATATATGTTGTTGCAGAGATTTGAAGGTTGTGGTTTGATGGAGTGGTTTGACCCTCCAATGTGCAAAAGGTCTCAGAAAATCATCCCAGGATTATTAAAAAAACTGAATGCCTATGAAGAGAAAATCCATTCATTGGAGATGAAGGCTCAAGCATTGGAGACAAACTGTTTCAAAGCAGAGAAGATGCAGACAAAATGTAGTAAATGTATAAGATTGGTGTGCTTTATGTGTGTTGTGATTGTTATTGTTTCAGTCTACTTGAAAGCCAAGTAATAAGCCAAGTAATGTAGTTCTAGTGTTGATGAGGTCTGTCATTATGTACTTGTAAAACCTTTGTAAAAGGTGTTGATTAGCATGATTTGGTATGAAATGAAATGAAAGTCATAAGATTATGAGTCAAAGCTGTTCATTATAAGTTCATATCTATTGCTTTGGTATAAAATGACCTTGTTATTACCTTGGTATAAAATGACTTCAACTGATAACTTAAAAAACGTGTGGAATACATATCTATTACACATATGCATGCCGAGTGATGACTTAAAAAACCAGTTCCTTAACATATCACTTCCTTAAAAAACCAGTTCCTTAAGTGATGACACATATCAGTTCCAAATGACTTGAAATGGACTTCAATCCTGTGGACTACAAAACTTACAAACTGGATTTGGCTTCCTTAACCAACATATACTCAAACCTGCCACTCAAACATGCAGTGATGACTTCCTTAACAACCATATAATCACTTCAAGCACACATGTATGACACATATATAACTTAACAACCAATTACATACACATATATAATTACTTGCATCATAACTTAAGATGCATGATGTTTGTTACACAATAAAGTCATTCCCAAAAAAGTTGAGCTCATGTACAGCCAAAATGCTACTCCATACATTACATCATCACACTGAGATGATACATTACATAATAACTTAACAAGCATGAGTTTTGTTACACATCACAGTCACTCCCATAAAGGCAAAAAACTTAGTCCATACATTACATCATAACAGTAGCATCAGTCATAAACATTTTACTCCATCCACTACTGTATATCAATGGGGTCATCATCATTTCCAAAGAAGACTGATTTGAAAGTTGTTTTGGATCTAGTAGCATAGGTTGGTCCCCTTTTAATGGTGAGTTTGGGTCTCGGATTAACTTGAGAAGGTTTAGGCACACTTGTACTACTCTTCTTTTGACTAGGGGGTGGTCCATAGCATATCCTAACACCCTGCTTTGTTCTCTGGTAAGTCCCAACAGTCTCCTCTTCTGAAACCTCCTTGCTTTGTTCTTCACTCTCTCCTTTGCTCTCTTCTTTGTTGTGTTCTTTCCCCTCATCTGTACTTTTATCTTTGCTCTCTTCTTTGGTTTCTTCTGTGATCTCTTCTGAGACTTGAGTGACTTGTGTGTCCTGTGTAAACATAGCAATGTCCTCTACACTCACAACAATAGGAACCTCACTTCCAAAAGTAGCTTCCTCAGCACACATCATGGTAATGTCAACAAGGTTGGATTCATCAAGAAGGTTGGAGTCATCAACAACCTCTTCAACTCCCTCATTCCCAGGCTCCTCACCTCTATCATGCAGTCCTACAGGATGCCTGATCTTAGGTTTCCTGTTTCTTTTTCTAGGTTGCAACTGATAACATGTAAAGAAAGTGTAGTTAATGCAAACATACCACAATATATCATAATAAGAAAATGACCTTATAAAATATAGATGGACACTATACCAGCTTCTCCTTGATGTTAGGATCATCCGGACATCTCCTTGCATTGTGGCCTGCCTTCTTACACTTTGAACAATGCAATTTTATATGTGTTCTTGCTACTCGGACTCCATCTATGCTCAGATCAACTGCAGATTTCCTTCTCAGTTTTCTTGGTCTTCCAGCTCTAGCAGCATATACAGGTGGAAGAGGGGGAAGTCTGTCAGTTAAAGGCCACTCATCTGGGCCTGCCATTGGCTTTATGGAGCCTCCATATATCTGCAAATACATGTCCTTGGAATAACATGGGTGGACATATGCATCAACAGGTCCTTTTCCAAATTTGAGCCAAATAGCACATATTGCATGCTTGCAGGGGATCCCAGTTAAGTCCCACTGCCTGCAAGTGCATGTTCTCTTCTCCAAATCCACACCATGTTGGTTACCATGCGTTCCCATTATCTCAAAGTCATTGTCACCACACTGATACCCAATCAAACCTGCAGCTAACTTCTCAGTCTCATGAATTTTCTTTACTATTCTAGGGCAAATATTTGTAGTCCACTTTCTTGCCTTAGTTCTGCTACTGAACAGCTTTGTTAGAAGCAGTTTCCTTATAGTTTCTAGGCACACCAAAAGGGCTTGTTGTCTCGCCTCTAGTATTACACTATTAAAGCACTCACAAATGTTGTTGGTCAACATATCAGTTTTTGAGTGAGTAGAGAAATGTGCTCTTGACCATTCTCTGGGATGCTTATCAGCCAGCCACTCAAATGCTTGCCCATCAATTTCTTTGAATTTAGAAAGGGCAGCTTTATATGAGTTCAGAGTGCATGCCTTGCTTCACTCCCACAGAGAATCCTTTAGAGCTTTGCCAGTAAAACCTGCAGCCTTCATATTGCCATGTAGATGCCTCACACAAAATCTATGCTCAACACCTGGAAGTAGTTCATTCACAGCTTGAATTAGCCCTTTCTGCTTGTCTGACATTAAAGTGAAGACATGCTCATTGCCCTCTGTGATGTCAGCATCCCTCTTCACTAGGTTCAAGAACCAAGCCCAAGATTCTCTACTCTCACCCTCAACAATGGCATAAGAAAGTGGAAAGATGCTATTATTTGCATCTACTCCAATTGCAACTAAAAGCTGCCCCCCTGTTTTGGTCTTCAGATGAGTCCCATCAACCCCAAGAACTGGCCTACAATGTTTAAATCCTTCTCTACAGGCTTCCCAACACATATACATTCTCAGAAATCTTTGTTGTCCATCCACCTCAACATTCTCACTCAATTTCACAACACATGTGCTCCCAGGATTGGTCCTTCTTATTTCAGCCACATATGACCATATCTTCTTGAAGTAATCTTCTTCTTCACCTTGCAGTTTCCTCTTAGCCTTACTAATTGCTCTATAAGCTTGTCTGAGACTCAAATGGAAGCGTTCTTCAGTGCACACTTTCTGTCTGAACTCTTTAGTTTTCCAATTTGAGTGACTTTCAATCTCCTTGAACCACCTATTTGCTACCTTACTTGAGTTCACCATTTTGTTGTGATAGACCCAAGAGCAACCCTCATGTTTGGAATGGTACTGTAAAATCACCCAAGAATGAGAGTTCATTACCTTTCTAAGATTCATCTTCCATGGGCAGCCTATATGCTTGCACTCCACAACAACCCGTTCCTTATCATTTTTGACAAACCTGACCTCTTTACCATTGTTAAATGCAAGATTTTCCACAGCTTCTTTGAATTCCTGTTTGGTGGCAAATGTCATACCCAACTTAAAGGTTGGGTCTTTCATATCAGTCTTGGCAGAGAATTTAGTCCACTTGTCAGACTCAGAATCAGATTCATGTATGGAACCATCATCTGACAAGTTAGGATCTGGGTCTACCATTGAAGCCTCAGTAAAATGGTCCTCTCCTTCACTACTGCTGCTTAACCCTCCATGAGCAGATAACTCAGCATCCTCCTTAGAAATGAAGTCTTCCAAATCAGAGTCATCCTCATCTCCAGAAAATTCTTCTAACTCTTTCTCACTGTAGGCAAAGTCACTATCTTCAGAGTCATCATCATCTTCAGTGTCACCACTGGGTTCTAATTCTACCCAGAACTCCACCACCTTACCAACATTTCCATCATTCACAATTCCCCAAACCTCAGCCTCACTGTGTAGTTGTTTTAAGGACTCATCCTCATTGGAATAAGAGTACACTGTCATAAGTTTTTGGGTGCAACCAAGTTCTTGTAACTTCTCATTCAACACAATCAAACCGAACTCATCAACCTCTACATCATGAAAATTATGGATTGACCCTCCCAAGTATGCAGGTTTATCCTTGTCAAATACTTTTCCTCCATAAAACAACCTCAAAGTAAAAGTGTTTCCACATGTGCCTGAACCTGTTTTATATATGAGTTTTAAATGTTAGGTCAATGTCTTTAATAGGTTACAACAACACCATAAGTATATTTCATAAATACTACTACAAAAAAAACATGTATGGGTATAACCTTGCGTAAAGATAAAAGTGAACTGGTCCCATTTCTTAAATGGTAAAAGACAACCGGCCAAGGGAATCTCAACCAAAAAAAGCCTACCCTACCATGTGACCGCATAAAGGGAAAAAGGGAAAGGGGAAAAGGGAACCTCAACATAAAACCCCTAACATGTGCATACACTGCGAACAACAAATATATACACCTCAGTTCAGCCTTATTTCCAATACTTTCTTCCACTCTCTTAAAAAAGTTCAGCATCTTACCTTTATCAGCAACATTTGTTGGCGACCACCGTTCAGCACTTGTTCCTTCTCCTTCACGCCAACGGTCCAGACGGTTCCTCATTCTTCGAACGATTTTGGGGATTTTTCAAGGTCACTGAAGCTTTGCTGAGAGGGAGAAGAGACTTCGGTTTTTGAGGTAGAGGGAGTGGCCGTATTAACTAAACATTAAGCTCACTTAATGTCGATGTTTATTAGGTAGCCGTTTTTTAACTTAAATTTACTAAAATGCCCCCTCATTAATTGGTTTCCGGTTGACATTAGCCGGAATTGAGCCCGGAAGGACGACGGGTGGTTATGGAGATAAGGTCAAGGACTACATTTGGTTAAATTGAAAGTCAGGGGATTAATGTGGAAGTGGCATAATAGTCATGGGACCAAAAGTGGAATTTTTTCATTTGAATAAATAATGAGAGAGAATGTTTATCTTATTCATAATAAAATAAGGTAGATTCTATGGTACCCATAAGGTACCATACCTTTGTCCACATGGACCAATGAAAATGTAGGAGTTGAATTATTTAAATCTAAATTTAAAATGATAAAGTGATGTGGCCCAATCAAATGAATGGTAGGTACGGTACCCCATTATTTAGAAGGGTACCGGGGAGTTGTCACCATAAAATATATCTCTTTTCCTCTTTACAAGACAAGGGTAAGATCTGTAAATAAAGGCCCTGTTTGGTAATGGCTGCAATGGCTGAAAAGGCTGAAAAGACTGAAATTCTGAAGTAAAAGTGTTTGGTAAAATATTGGCTGAAT